TGACAACTTTGAGGGGCACCAAAAACCCGAACATTCTAAGAGGGCCAACCAACTGGGCTGTCCTTTTCAGGCCTGATTGATCGGGGCTGTGGTCATAGCATTTGTCTGGTCAGTACCCCTCCCCCACGCCCCCCTATGGAAGATGATTTCTGAACCAAAGTTGAGTAATGGGTCCAGTATATCACTGGGTACATTGCGTAGGAAGCATACGACTTGAAGGTGAAGACCCCTTTTACCCAGCTGCCTCCGACCTGTTTCTTAAACCACAAGTACGTAGGGGCCAATTTCCTCTGGGGCTGCAAACGCCCTGTGCGTCAAGCTTTGCCCAACCGACAGTGCGACACTTTCTTTGCCTTTTGGCTGGCACCGCCAGCCATTATGGTCTGGTAGCCCCGAAGCCCAGTTAACGCGATGTGTTAATGTCAAGGGCACATGGCCGATGTATGGGCCAAGTATTGGTGGTTTAAGGACAGAGTAGTGGTTAGACACGACTCGAGAGGGGGATACACAGGGTTCCACTTGGACTGTGGACGCAGCAACCCCAGGGTTATGACTGGGAGAGGGCATGTACCTGCAGACTACCGCCTTCACCCGAATAGAACGCCTGGTCATTACCGCTGCATCTGGACTGAAATCTGCCCCAAATACAGCTACGATGACCGGAAGTTCTGGTTGGGTGAAGACAGTAGGGGAATCCTCAGAAGGAGTAGCCTGCTTGTGATCCCAGTGGATCATTACCAGTGGGCGTGGAAAAGCTGACAATGCAGAGGGCGGGGGAGGGGATGGGAGAAATGACGAAAGCAAAGTGAGAGGGAGAAAGCAAAAAAATAGCGTGGAGAGTGTTCATGTGGACGAAGGAACAGAGTGGGGAGTCAGTTATTGTCCTGAACTTTTACGCCGGTCTCATTGACTTTGTTTATTCTTTCAGAGCAGTACGGAAGGACAGCACAGACGATTTACACGACAACTTGAGAAGAACTAGCGGTAAAGGGCTGCCACGTTTCATTCTGAAGAAAATTGCACTGGATGCTTTCCCAATAATTCATTTAGGTGCATGTCATGGATTGGTAGCATGGACGGTCGCTACAAGTTGTTGTGCTTGCATGAGCAAGCACACGGTGTGTTTGACGGTGGGATCGTTTTCCTCCCTATGGCACTGTATGAAACCTTTCCAGGCATCGTGAGTGCGGGACCTGATTTCGTCTTCTATTACTTGCTGGGCTTGCTGCAGTCCAAACTCGTAGTCTCTTCTTTCAAAAGAGCAACTGGCTCTCCAGGCCAGCATTAGGATCTGCAGTGTCATATATGAGAAGAGGTTGGTTGCATAGGGGGGCCAGTGAGTCTGCGAAGGGTGGCTCCCAAGCAGCAGGACACCCAGGTCCCACGGGATACGCAGTCCTGTGAGGGAGTGGAGGGCCGCATCCCACCACTGCCATAATTGGGTGACCATCGGGCATGCTGACAAGCAGTGCTCCAATGTTGGTCGGGTTGGTGGTGACGACCTGCCACAATAGGTGCAGATGGGTGACAGCAACCTCTTTTTCTTCCAGGTATGTTCAAGGGACCATCCAATCAGGCGTAGGCAGGCAGCGGTGGAGAATTTGCCATTGTAGGGCTCTCTGGCTAGTGGGCATAATCTTCACATACTTAGTCCAAGGTGGGTTGTTCATCATCTGCGGTTCCAGGGGTGAGTCACGCTCCCATCTTGCAAATAATGTTTGGTTTATTGCGGGGGTGGAGCTCGAGGCTTTGTAGCCTGCTTTGACTATGTAGTCCCAAGCATTCATGGGTTTCACACCCGGCCATTCCCATTCCGCTGGGTCGAAGGGCAGCATGGCAACCGGCATCGTTGGTTCATATACGAAGAGCCCTTCTTGCGGGTCACCCACTACGCACACGTGCATCAGTCCCCCCCAATTTTCAGCCCAATCCAGGTTGTCATTTCTTGTGAGTTTGTTGTGTGGGTCATACGTTCCAGTGAGCAGCTGCCAATGTCGTTTCTGATGACTCTATATATGGTCAGCAGCTGGGGGAGGTCTGCTTATTTAATAACCCAGTCATCTGGCCGGATCTTCGAACCCGTTTGAAGAGTGACGCGCCAGGCCAGGGGGAGGGCCTCCTTCAACTTCTGCATCTTATCCCCGACATTTTTTGCGTGTTTCAGCCTCGGTTGCATCCGGTCAGCCGTCACCCAATCATTGGGCACCGGGCCCCACAGGTCCCCCACCGTAAAGACTCTTTTTTTTGCCCAGGTGAGCCAGGGGAGTTTTTGGTGAGACTGAGGGGGCTGTCATCTTCATACAGGATATGGGGGCTGCCGAACAGCGGTTGCCTCCATATATCTTGCCATCTGTTTGGGGTCGGGTTTTTGTCTCGACCCCCATTTCCTCCAAAGTTTGAGCATATAGGGCCAAAAGGGGTCCAGGAGCAGGTCCAGCCTGCCCGCATGCCGCGAGTGGTGTCCAATGTTAGTTGGTTAGTCATCGAAGCGGATGCAGTGTGTTGGCTACTGATGATTTCGGGTCCAGGGTGGCAATCTGTAGACGGGCCAACTGTGCCCATGGAATGTCATTTCCTATAAGCAACCTGATCAGGATTTTGAAAATCAATGCGGCACTTTCCCTCTCCGGATCTAGTATCCCCAGACCTCCCTTGGGTCTCGGTTGTGTGAGGATGTCCCAGCTCACACGTTTTTGCACTATTTTCCCAGAGGTATGTGACGAGTGCTTTCCTCAGTCTGGCATATTGTTGTTTCTTTAGTGGCCAGACGGCCAATTTGTACCATATGGCCACTACTACCCCGCTAGGACAGCATTGTTTATTGCATCGTTTATTGCTAAGGCCCTTCCCCCTATCGAGGTGTGCAGACCTTCCCATTTAGCCAGTCGGTCTACTACCATGTTGACAACCATCCCCATGGTCTGGCGGGGGGCCAAGTGCCGTTAGCCTCACCCCCAGCATTCTGATGGCATCTTCCTTGCGTGCGCATGCCACTGCCGGCTTGCGTGGTGGCGGTTCTCCTAACGGGTGAAGCCACCAGCCCTCCGTCTTGGAGCCCTAGTTGGACCTTCATGTCCGCCGCCAGCGACAAAAGATGTAGGACCTGTGTTAGGGCCCATAATTCCAACGTATGTATGAATGTCCTTCCTTCTTTACTTTCTCCTAAGTTCATTTGTGGACTGCATGAGCACCTTTAACAAGTGCTATATAATCGGTGGTGCGTGGTTTGGATTGCCTGCAGGACTCTTAGGGGGGTGCTCTGTCTGTGATGTCTGTCGTGCATATGGTCCGTCGGTGGATGATAGACGTCGGTCGGAGTACCTCCCTGGCTCAGCACGTGGTGGTAACCAACAGTCTGCGGGGTTCAATCATGATTGGATTAGGTGATGTGCCGCTTCGCTCCGTGTTGGATGTGTGGACTGCCTCGTCTGTGCTGCGCCGTTGCCTTGCTGCCCGCCCCGCTTGCTTCGCATGTGGTTCTTTGTAAGTTGTTGTGTTCTCGGTGTGGTGTGACTGTGGTGTCGATGTTGCCTTGTGCCTCACTGCGTTGCTGCCTGGCTGCCAATCCGCGTGCCGTTCCTTCCTTGTCCTCTGCTTCTGTGCCGTGCCATTTGGCGGCCTTGCTAGTGTCGCCATGTGCTTCGCACGGTTGATGTGCTGCTCACCCACTTGCCATGTCGTTCCTTGCAGTCATCTTTAGCGTTGAGCAGCCGTGTTGCCTCTGCAGCGTTGCCTGGTGCTTCGCTGGGCTGCCTCCCACTGCTGTGTTCCGTTTGGGGACAGTCTGCCTTCAACAAGGGTCAAATGGTTCATGACCCAAACCATCAATACAGAGATTCAGCAGATTGTCGAGGGTTCATCCTCCTGATGAGTCGGTGCAACTCCGATGAAACAATCTACTCAGTCTTTGGGACTTGTATTTTTTTGCTGGTTTGTCCTTCTGAAGTGTTTGTGTGCCGTCTACTTGGTTTGTTAGGTGTGCTTGTGCGTCGTTTGCCTGGTGTGCTTGTGTGTCATTTGCCTGGTGTGCTTGTGCGTCGTCCGCTTTGTGTGCTTGCGTGTCGTCTGCTTGGTCTGCTTGGTCTGCCTGTGCCGTCTGGTTCGTATCCTTGTCTGTCGTCTGCCCTCGCACCTCCCCCATGCCCTTCGGCCTTTGTCCTTTGTTGCTGTTCATCATTCTATGCCTTGTTGTCTCACGTCTTTCCCTTAGTACCTTGTGTGCTATCTGCCCTCCCGTCTCCACCTGTTCCCTCCAGCCTATGTGTTAACTCCCTGCTCTTGCGTGGTTGTTTCTTGGTTGCTGTTTATTGTCTTGTCCATCCTGCTGGTTCCTTTGTGTGCTTGTGTGTCATCTACTTCGTCTGTTTGGTGCACTTTGGTGCACTTGTCTGTCGTCTGCTTGGTATGCTCGTGTGTCGTCTGCCCTCCTGCCTCCCCCGTGCTCTCCTGTCTTTGTTCTTTGCTGCTGTTTGTCATCCTATGCCTTTCGCTTAGTACATGTGTGCTGTCGGTCCACCCGCCTCCCCCTGTGCCTTCGAGCCTATGTGTTGTCTCCCTGCTCTTGCTTGGTTGTTACTTGGTGGTTGTTTATTGTCTTCTCCGTCTTGCTGGCCTGTGTGCTTGTGTAGTCGTCTGCCTGGTTCTATTGTTTGCATGATTGCATGGTGTGGTTCTTCCTTTCAGAGCGAGTTTAGCGGGAATGGCCGCATCGAGAGTGAATTCCTCATACACCACACGTGACCTGTGAGTAAGTCATGATAATGGTATTGGACCCTGAGCTGGACTGTCGCACCGTGGCTTGCCATGGAGTTCTTAGCACTAACATGCTATGTGTATCTTAACACACACACACACACACACACACACACACACACACACACACACACACACAACACACACACATGCACACACACAGCGGCACCCTGGATCAAAACTGAATTCTGTGATTCCCACACAGGCCGTTCCTGAGAACTGCATTGCAAAGAAGACTCTTCTTTTTAGTATCTGAAGCACTATCACCTGCGAGCACAGCAAGGGTGCAAAAACTTGCAGTCCCCTCTGGCTTCTACCCGACATCTTAAAACCTCTACCTATCCTGATCTAACCCGATCATTCTTCACAGGAACATCACTCCATCACTCTTCCACAACTCTGTCAATCGTCTACCTGACTCTATCACTTCATCGATCCTCCAAAGACCCTAAACCACAGTCACACCTACCTCAACACCCGGCGCCAAGATGCCTCCTCCTCCTCCTCCGACGCCGCGGCCACCGCCTCCTCCCCCTCCTCCCCCTCCTCCTCAACACCTTCCAACATAATCACTTTGTCAACTCGCCCCCAGCGAACATCTCAAGACATGTTGCACTCAGTGCACTCCTCAACACCGCACACCCACTGAACTCCTTAATGCCCCACACACAGACGGCTGCATCTGCTTCTCCTAACAGCCTTGTGCAGGCCGTCATCATACACTTGCCACACACCCTTCCTTCCAGTGCAGCAACCACTTAACAGGCTAACACAACCACTGTTCACTCACCGCCTACTTCTGCAGAGACAGTTAAAATTGTTAAACACGTATTGCGCTCTGCTACTTCCATAGGACGTCCCCTTGCCCGCCCCACATACCTCCCCTTCACACTCACCTCCTCTTAAACATTCCCATGAAACCTCACAAGAGGCTGCAAAGCAGGTCAAATAGTTCCGAAGCGATAACTCTCAGGCTCCACTACACATGGAAGACCTCCGAAACAGTAGGGAAGAAAACAGTATGGCCATTCAGCTCAAAATTGGCATTGGACCTGAGTAGGGTCCTCCACACCGCCAATCACTGGAAAATCCCGAAATTGGTAAACTCCACATACCTAAACAACCGCTGGCCTGCTTGCCTTCATAGTATCCTGCTGGTAGAAACAGAAGCGACAGGTTGGTTTAGCTGACTAGCCCGCCTAGGCCTGCAATTCGGAGTAGGCCTAGCCCCGCAATAGTTTGATATCCGGGGTAGGCAGGAGGGTTCACCAAAGTGGCGGGCTTGGGGTGCTGATCAAACTCCGTTGAAGATGTCCTTCGGGCATTGAGACAGACTCGGAATCCCACCTGGGGAGCAAAGCAACAACATGGTGGTTTGCAGTGGTTTGGGTGGGCTGATCAAAGTCCGTTGAAGATGCCGTTCACGCTTCAAGAGAGACTCACGATTCCCCCTCAGGAGCAGAGCTTTTTAAGATTCACAGCTCGAGCCCAGACTCAAAGCAGCCTTGCTGTTCGGAGTTCGTAAAGATTTGAATTGGGGGAGCAGAAAAAGCTCATCCAAAGCCACCACAGCAAATGATACAAAAAAAGATGATCGTTCACAAGCCCAACGATACAAAACACGATGACCGTTCACACTGATCGTCGCATAGATTCCAGTGTCACGCACCGATGAGATGCATTCTGACGATGTACAAAATCAGGAGCTGGAGCTCCCTCCATCCAACGGTCAAGAACCCAGTTTGCACATGCACACAACCCGCAAGAAAACAACGACGACATCATGCCGCTCAAATGTCGAACATCTGCACTGGCCAATCCTGGACGCTCCCATCTGCTGCCACTGCCTGCGTCTCGAGCGAAATGTCAATGCTCCTATGCCTGGCACTTCTTGCAATGCTGACGCGCCCTCTTATGGCAATGGCAGGCAACTCTCGGCTGCCAGCGCCTTTCGCTTTCCCACTCCGTCTTTGCTGCTGGACACTAATGGCCGCGCTGCAAGATGTCATTGGCTCTGCTGAAGATGTGGATGACTGTGCGAGATGCACCGGAGGACTGTCAACGTGGCTCGCAAGTGCAATCGGCTCACGGAACGTTAGAATGCACTGCGACCAATGTGTTTTTTGTCGGTATGGCGATGTCGAAAGCACCGTTGGCTTTTCGGAACAGAAGCGCTTTGTGAAACCTGTGTCAAACCAGACAACCACACCATAACACATGACTACCCCATCATCACCACCTTTCCCATTGGTCCGCGCCTCCGCTGCGGACAGGTCGTCCTGCATTCTCGCTCTTGGACATTCTGTCGAATCACCACCTTTCTCCATCAAGCCTCGATCACCTGAAGAGTTCAGAAAGCCATCCTCTTCCTTTGAGCAATTTGTCCCCTCATTTTCATGGGTAGCTGTCGCCTTGCTAGAAGAACATCCCAAGGGATGAATGTGAAAAGGCACCGTGAAATCAACATCGTCAACAGTTATGCTCATCAGGTCCATTTCCTGATTGACAAGGGGGACAGACAGCCAATAGCACTATCATGTCAGCGAACTTCGACTCCATATTCAAGTTTTAAGGTCTTACTGTTCGGTTGCCACGGCAAAGCATACCGTTGTCATTCCATCCACCATCATGCAGCATCTTCACCCACTAGAAATTGTGGAAGAGGGCGATAAAAATAAATAAATGAGTGAGGATTGGAGCATCATGATCCCAGTTGAAGGTGATCATCAATCTCACCAGATGATGAGATCAAACCACCACTCTTTCGCAATCAATGTTGCTGAACGTCGTTCCCGTCCAACCCTAACCTGTCAAAGTTCAAACTGGCACAGGGCCAAGCCTACCAATGAGCGCAGGCTTAGAAGGGTGAGCAGGCAGAATCTACGTGTGGCAGCAGGCTTATGAGAACGGTCAGTAGGCCGAGCGTACTTCTTTCCAGCCCATCCCTAACCTGCCAAACAAGCAGCGAGTCAAGCCTACCGGTGGCAGCAGGCTTAGAAGGGTACGCAGGCTGAACCTACGGGTGGCAGCAGGCTTCGAAGGGTAAGCAGGCTGAACCTACGCGCAGCAGCAGGCTGAACCTATGGGCAGCAGCAGGCTGAACCTACGGGCAGCAGCAGGCTTATGAGAAGGGTAAGTAGGCCGAGCCTACCTCTTTCCAGCCCAAACCCTAGCCTCCCAAACTAGCATGGACTCAAGCCTACGGATTGCAGCCGGCTTACAAGGGCAAGCAGGCTGAGCTCGCCGGTGAGCCCATTCTAAACGAGCACAGCGCTCAGCATTAGATCACAAAGAGCGGTCATTCAAGCCAATCCAATGTGCAGGGTGTAAACTACTCAAGAAAACTGGAATCCACTACATGTTACAGCCTAAGGAGCAGCAACAGTTCTTCCTAACGGATACAGCAAGGAGCGAGCACAGACATGTGGAATGGATCATATCCAACGGATTCTTCAGCAACGAACGCTTCGAAATCGAAAACAAGGAGAGAGTGGAGAGGACTCATAGGATATCTGACTGGTGGCTGAATGGCTTAATACCCATTAGCAGGTGCGAGTTAAAAAAAAAGGGCAAACTCCTTTATTTCGGAGAAAAGAAACCAAAACACACTGTCCTTCGGGACATCCGTTAAAATTGGAACGATACAGAGAAGATTAGCATGGCCCCTGCGCAAGGATGACACGCATGAATCGAGAAATGGTCCAATTTTTTTGAGAAAAAAAGAAAAAAAGAAAAAAGAAACCAAAACACACGGAGGCAGATTGATTCCTTACAGCCAGCTGAGATTAGGAAATCTGCACAACTACTCAACTGCTGACAAATTCAACAGATCCAATCCAATCAACTAAGTTCAGAAAGAGGAGAAAGAGAACAACACGCGCGAAGAGACAGGGCTCCAAAGGCAGGCTACAATAGGGTAGTCTGGAAATATTCACAAGTGGTAGCACCTTGAAATCCTCGAACCCAACGAACTGACCCAGTCCACACGGGTGAATGGTAACAGATCATGAGTTCGAATCCTGATGGAAAAGCAGATGTATAAGAACAAGATCAAGGTAACGGTGTCATGAGACAGAAAAAGAGGACACCCCCCCTAAGTGCGGTGCGTAAACCAATTTCGCCATAGCCGTTTCTTTCTGGAAAATGTATACAAGTCAAGTTAGTTGCCTGAAAGGAGTATAAGCATGTCTACCCCACTTCGTGGCCTTATTGGAATAGCAGGATTTGAACCTGCGACCATTAGGTTAAAAGCCCAATGCTCTACCAACTAAGCTATACACCCAGAATCCACATCATAAGTTTGAATCCTGATGAGAAAAACAGATGGATAAGAAGAAGATTTAAGGTAAAGGTGCCATGAGACAGAGAAAAGAGGACACACCCACCAAAAGTAGATCATGCAAAGGGTAGACAGATAGAGAGGTAGGAATTTTTTTATTTTTATTTTTTTTATCCGAACCTCTCGGTTAGGAAAAGAACTAGAAACATACCATCTTGATTCCTGCATTTTTTTTCCCCAACAAAATGGTGCTACGTTGCTATAGCCGCTTTCACCCCCAAGACCATTCCTTTTCGCCAAATTTTTCACATGTTGCACCTATCTCCACCAAGTCGGACAGGGGAAACGTGGACCTCGAAGGAGATGCAAATTAGAGAGGCGGCGACGGAAGAGAATGGGAACAGGAGAAAAAGGGAGGAGGAGGAGATAAACGACACACAGAAGTGTACCTTTATCACACAATCAGTGGTTACAATGTCTTTTGGCTCGACGACGTCGATAATCGGATACTGTGCTGCCTCTTCGACCACATCCCTCCCAACACACGACATATCGAATCCGTAAACATCCTCCCAGAATGCAAGACTTGTTGCATCTTTTCCAACCCCTGCCAGGAACTGATACATAGAACCAACCAAAACATCATACCCATCTCAGTAAAATGAAGTTTAATGAACATTCATATATGATATATCAGCCCGCCAACACAATTTCGATAACCCAATACTGTGCTGCCTCTTCGACTACCTCCAACCATCCCCATCATATCACATATGTAAAGAACTTGTGCATGACTTGTTTTGCTTTTTCCTACCCCTTCCAGGAACTGCTACATAGAACCAACCAACCATCCCCATCGCAGCACCCAAAACGTCAAACGAACAGTCATTATCAGTACACCAACACTTGTCAGACAATGCAAAAAACACTCGACGGTTTGTCGTCTGATGACACCAGCAGATCTCAAACTTAATAGAACCAAACCTTAAAATAGAAACACACACACGACACGTTTCACATCTTCATCTACCCTTCTTTTTTAATCTCCATTGTTTTTCTTCTCTTCATCTACCCATTTTTTTTCCATTCTCCCTTCCTTCCCAGTCCCCGTTTTTCGTTGACTTTTCACTACAGGTTTTCCCATTTCGTTCCCCCTCTTTCAGCACTCCCATCCATGATTGCAAGACCTGGCACAAATCGTATCGAAGGACTCCAAGGCCTCCTCCTTTTATTGTCCCCTCTTACTCCCCTCTCCGTTTCCCGTCCCCACTCTTCTTTCCTACTTGTCAGACCCAAAGAGGCAAGACTCACAGTGCAGTTAAATGTCAGTAAATCAATTCCTCACAGATTATCGAGTCTACCAAATCTATCGTCCAGATTCAGGACCCAAGGAATGTGAATTAAATTAATTCCGCACAGATTATCGATTCTATCACATCTACCGCCCAGATTCATCCCAGTGCAGTTCACCGTCGCACAAACCTTTCAGAAGGACATTTGAGCAAAAGACAGTAGACAGGAAAGGACAATATTGCATCCACAGCGATTCCAGAGTGCATCAACATGTTGAATCATTCAATGTCAAATGGAGATAAAAAGGGTTTACACTTCAAAGACATTGCAAAGCATCATCGCAAAACGTACACTGCAAAGTTTGCAATGAAGCGATGACGCTGCAAAGTTTGCAATGAAGCGATTGACGCTCCAAAGCTTGCAATGAAGCGATGGTGCTGCAAAGCTTGCAATGAAGCGATTGACGATGCAGTAGAGTACAAAAAAAAGACAAGTAATGAAGCACAGGGGAAGGAACAAAAGAGCAATGATGAAACCGTAGATTAAATAGAATCAATGCCGAAGTGCAAGCACAGTGACGATGGAGGAACAATGCGAAGCCGCGCAGAAGTAGGGCGCACACACACACACACACACACACACACACACACACACACGCACGCACACACACACACACACACACACACACACACACAGAGACAGA